AGCATACCATCTGAATTACTGGAACCAGACATAGAAGTAACTGCTAAGATGCTCCAAATTTCGGAGGAAAAACAAGTACTGAGAGACTATTTATTCATTATTTATTTGAACACATAGATATTGGTACAAGAGTGCGTCAAATATATATGCACCAAGCAAAACAATGAGAATTTAAAAACAAGGAAGAAAAGGTAAATAGCGTAAAAAAAGAGGATAGTAACAAACAGATTGGTGTAAGATAGTGTAATAATAATAATAATGGTAGTAATAATGAGGGAACGGAAAGGTACAACCAGAAGAAAACTTTCAGTTAAGGAAGAAGCAACCACTTTTTATGAAGAAAGTAATAGGTTACAGCAGGATCGCCACTGGCTTCTATTCTGAGCCATATCTGATAACGCCTCTAGCCACTGTGTAGCACCATCTCTCGGACCCCGACCAGGGAGTCGTTAAGGACCGACACAAGCCAGTCATTTGCAGCTTTCTTTCATACCACGACACCATGTTATATACTGACCACCTCTCCGCTTTCTCCAACCAGCCTGAGTCGGCAAATAATGCACGACGTGGAATTCTCTGGGACGACATTCGTAGAACATGTCCAAGCCACCGAAGTCGGTGTTTCAAGATGGTGACACCGATTGAATTATCATCTCTGTGCCCGAACACACGATGCCGAACCTCTGCATTACTAACATGGTGTTGCCAGTGGATGTCAGCAATCTTTCGGAGACAACGATGATCGAACACAGAAAGTCGTCTAACGTCCTCAACTCGGAGAGGCCAGGTTTCACAAGCATAGAGCAGAACTGCTCTCACCGACGCGTTGTAGATCCGACCTTTTACAGCCAGACTAACATCACGAAGGCGCCAAAGGTGGCCCAGGTTGGCATAAGCCGCTGTGGCTTTCAATATACGTGCATTGATCTCATCAGTCACACCACCACCAGCACTCATACAGCTACCCAGATGCACGAACTTCTCGACTACTTCTATCTGCTCACCGTCCAAGGTGATTACAGGATTAGAATCTTGCCAGCCTTGTAGAAGTACTTTGTACTTCAAAGGTGCAAAGCTCATACCATACCTACGGACATTGATTGACCACTGATTAAGTGCGGATTGCATGGCTTGGGCATTATCACGCAGTAAGACAATATCGTCCGCGTACTCAAGGTCGAGAAGTCTTTCTCCAGGCAACAGATCCACACCACCATTACTTACATTCATCAGAGCTGTTTTCAGAATGTCATCGATGACAAAGTTGAAGAGGAATGGTGAGGTTGGGCAACCCTGTCTAACCCCACTGCTTGGATGGAACAATGGAGAGAGGTGGTTGTATGCCCTCAATCTGCCTGAGGTGTTTGTATATAGGGCCTTTATGATGCCAATAAACTTCCCAGACACACCCTTCTCCAATAGACAATCCCAGAGAACAGTCCTGTCCAACGAATCGAATGCAGCCCTGATGTCAAGAGACACTAAGATTGTTGGCCTTTGATAAGTATGACGGTGTTCTAACATTTGGCGGAGGGTGAAGATTTGATCAATACATCCTCGACCAGAACGAAACCCAGCCTGCTCCTCGCGACGTGAACCCTTTTTAAAGATAGTGACAACTATCGACTCATTCCATGACGTTGGTACACTCTCTAGTTCCCACACCTTTGTAAACAACGTCGTCAGTTCCTTAGTCAGAAAGTCACCACCATCTTTAAAAAGAACCGGAGGTAAGTCATCTGGGCTAGGTGATTTGTAGCGCTTCAAGAGTTGGAGTTCCTTGCGGACTTCCGCCTCATTTGGTGAATCAGTCGTCACCGGCCATGGGGGGCAGGACAGTCTGACCGATGTTGCCGGAGCAGCAGGCCAGTTGAACTGCCCTTCGAAAAATTCTGCCCATTGTCCAAGACGTCGATGGATGTTAGTGATTGGCATCCCATCATCCTCTCAGATTGTCTCGCTCACACCACACTTCTTGCTGCCAGTGGCTCGGATGAATCGGAAGAGCTTCCGTTAATTACCAGATGCAGCTGCTGCTTCCGGCTCATTAGCACGCTCCGACCACCAGGCTTCTCGGTCCTTACGCAAGCTTTGCCCGATTTCACCATGTAACAACCTTCGTTTGTGGTCAAACTCACGGTCACCCGGAGAAGACCGATGGGCTTCAATGAGTTGTAAGGAGCCTAGAGAAACCCGGTGTTTATGTGCGGGACGTTTCGGGAACCCACAACTGGTTTTACTCGCCATTTTCATGGCGTCATGCAATTGCAACCAATGCTCATCTATACTTTTCGGTGGAATGGTAGCTAGCCTAGAAACTAGCTCTGTTCGATACTTACTAGCAACAGAAGTTGCAGCCAGCTTGCTAACATCAATGCGTTGGTGGCGGTCATTTCGTTGGCCACTGAAAAGTAAGGTAAGATTGGCGCAGACCAAGGCATGATCATATTCCAGATAGGTACTCCAGAAGAAGCGGCAGACTTGTACACAACCACGCCAGCGGCAGCTGAATTAAAGATTAAGCAGATTCCCCAACTTTTAGATCAATCATCGAAAAATCGCGACACTACAGACCATTATTGAATAATCATTTGAAAGGAACTCATCACTATAATTCAAATACCTTGACTATCAGAAAGTGTTTGGTAGAATGGATGGGATTCGTCACTACGTATCAACTTCCTTAAATATGAGAAAGCGTTCGATAGGGTGCATAGAAGAATCTTGTGAAACCATCTTTGACATTATAGTGTCCCTGAAAAGATCGTCAATATCATACAAGATTCTTACCACACATTACGCTGTGACGTCAAGTATAGAGGGCAACTAATATGTGCAAAACAAGTAAGGAGTGGTGTTAGACAAGGTCGCTTACTATCACCCTTTCTCTTTCTTCTGGTGGTTGGCTGGATTATGAAGACCTCAATATCTCAAGGGAAGCACAGAATACAAGACAGCTTAGACTCAGATAGATTATATGGACACAGTAACAAATGCAGCTGTAGATAGACAGTGTAGCAGCAGCTTCTACATCAGTAAACCACACGTAATGGAGCTGCTCTGTAGCAAATGTAACTTTCACGTACCTGGACAGAATCAACGATGAACAAGAGGGATCTGATGCAGACGTGAATGCATGGATCTGAACAGCAAACACAGTATTCCTACAAGTGAACAACGTCTACAAATCAAAATAACTCTCAGCCAATAATCAGGTATTGTGTGGAGCTGAAACCACACAACTACCACATCCATCATCAGAAAGATACGGGTATTTATAGACATCTGTCTACACAACATGTTCCTGATCCGTTCACCGGATACCATCAGCAATAACCTATTGTGGGAGCGAACAAACTCGATTTCCATTCGAAGAGGAAATTAGGAAAAAACACTGGTTTCATTGACACAGTGTACTAGATAATGTTTCAGACTTAAAAGCGACTATAATGTACTTGTGTTTGCTAGTGCTATACTGTTCCAAGAAGATAAGTTTTAGATCCATTTATGCATCACTAGGAATGTAAATAATTTCATTATCAACGGAAATTATCTATATATCGAACTCTATTCTTCACTTCATCTCACGATATTCGTTGTTGTTATTCTACAAACATTGATAGGAATTAATTGTGTGAAACAATTTCCAGTCATCAGGTGTACGTAATTTTGAAACATACTCAGTAAAAAATGAATCAAGTTAGAAATCCTTCAGTAATCTGAAAATTTATCATCACTCTGAGATTCGATAGATGAAATAGACCAACCCAATATCTTTGGATCATCTAAAGGTCCCGAGACTTTTGAGAAAACATTCAGCTGTGTTGAATCACCACTTTATATTACTCGTCAATACTGAATACAATGAGCTAAACATTTATGTCTCCTCAAGTTATTACGCATCTGTCGACCAGACATCATCAGCAATAATCTAGTCTGGCAGAGAACAAGCCAACATTCAAATAGAAAGGGAAGTAGGAAATAACACGAGGTGCACAGGATACATACCGCAGAAATGATGAGATTGAGTCCCAAGACAAGTTTTAACTAGAAGTCCCCAAAGAGCAAGAAAAAGAGAGACTAAAGATCACATAACACAGGGAATCGGGGGCAGTCATCAAAAAGATGAACAGCATTTCAAAACAACTGGAAAATAGTGCCCAGATGAGTCGGTTGGAGAATCCTGGTCTTCGATCTACGCCCCATGACAGGTGACGGGCGTAATTTATCAGATAATCAACTTCGTAAATCCACACAGTGGATTATTATTCCCATTGTGAGGAATATGTTTAGTTGTCTCCCTCGTGATGCCAATAGATGCAAATGGCAGCTAAGATGGTTACGCATTCGCGCAAACACACCTATTGCTGAGTAATAGGTTGTAAGTACATCAAGTTAGTTAGATTTACACATCAGCTTCGGTAAGAATCAAATTAATAAAAAAGGATACTGAAAATATATACCCTACTGAACTTAGATTAGTCTTGCTTTTATCATTCCACTAACCACTTCACATTAGTGATTAACTATTTGTTTAAACCTCATGATTGATTTGGTTTTTTATGCCATACACTGTACCAGTGACTCAGTCGATTAATTTAAGCAACTTGAATGTGGTGTAATATTTATGAGAATCTTACGAAATACTAATACATGAAAAGTTATCGAATATTTACTTTGTGCACAATTACACTTACATAACAGTATGGATAAATCAACGCAAACAATACAATGTAATGACAGATGTAAAGTAACAATAAGTTTACTAATAATTCGGTTTTCAGAAAATCTGATCGATAATACTAAAATCATCTGAATTTTAGTTCACTTATATTCACTTAAAGTGCTTGTAACAATTACCTATATGTTAACAAAACCACAGTGAACACATAAAGCAACATCACTGATGAAAAAGCAAATTTTATGAATAAGAAGAATAATATTGCAATTTATCAATAACAAAATTTTAATCTTGAGTTGTCAATGAACAGACAAAATATTTAACGATTAAGTGAATATCGGAAAATAAACTCCGAAATATTCCAACCGACACCATATTCATTCCAACATTCTCTCAAAAGTTCTTCATTTTGTGGAATATTTTCTGCAATCTTGCATCTACTTCTAAGTACATCCAATAAATGACTTCCACTTGGCATATACAACTCTGTATAAATCGTCTCCAGTATCTTCTTCCAATTCTTACTGTAATCAACATAGTGTTGTTCTCGAGTCCTACCATTCATCTTCAACTGCGGATAATCAAACAGTTCACTATTCGGCTCAAAAACACTCAAATAGGTGACCAATCGACCAAATATACTACTCATTTTGTCACTGACTGACGGTCCAGATGATTTCGTCAAATATTCACAGTCAGAGTGATAATAAAATGGATCACCGGATATTTGACGGTACAGCTTCCGCAACTCAATCAATTCATTCAAATCTTCAAAAAACACTATACACACAGATCGCACCATTCGACTGGCAATCTGATGTGCGATTCGTGTACGGATAAATCTAGCTGTCAAGTCCTCGAAACACTGACTGATATCTAGTTTCAGAGGACGCACCAAACCAACATTATTTATAGGTCTGATTGAATGTTCCAAATCACGATGCTTCGTCGCCATGTGAAACACATACAGTTTCGAGACCCAACTACCAGTAATACGCATCGCTTCAATTTTGTCACGTTCGTCTGTCAACCCATACCTATCCATTAGATCACTTCTCAGTATCGCACTTGCATAACTGTCTCTCAACAAACCACATGGAGCGAATCTGTTCTCCTGGAAATAATTAACAACAGCAGCAATCATCACTCGAATACATGCATCTGTCATTTCAACATCGATCACATCCATCAGTTCACAACTGCTAGCAACATTGTCAACGGTCCAACGGCCATAGTACCAGGCACCATCTTGACGATTCTCCACTACTCTGTCAGGTGCGGAGATATTTTCGACAGATGTCTCTCCATCAGAAGCAGATCGTTCATTTGAATCCGACGATTCGGGCACTTCTGCAAGTAGTCCAGCGAGAATTGCAGCACTGGCAGCATTCGCCAGCCATTTTCGAAGAGGTTTGGAAACCGATTCACCAACATTTTTGTAGACGTATGCAGAGGCCATTGCGGCAAACTTCACCCAGGCATTCTTAACAGGTATGGAATCGTCTGTGTTAGACCCAGGCATTATATACCTGTCAAGCATCAGCATGAATCGTGTGTCCAGATCAGATGAAGCAGTGAGAGACAACTCAAAATCGAAATCGCCATCTACATTTCGTAAACGATCAGACAAAATGTACCCTAAACCGTTAACCAAATTTGTTAGTGAGCTCTTCAAATCCTCAGTCTTCTCAACCATATTCTAGAAAGAAAGTTAGAAATTAAGACTATGAGGGTGTATATTATATTATGTTCAGATTGATAAGGCTTGTGAAAATCTTTTGATAATTTTTTACAAGATAGTGAAAAATGGTGACTACTTAAAGTCTATAAATTACGGATACAACTAACGATTTGGTTAAAGGAAAAGTGTTAGGAATTTTCATTCAGTGAATTGATTTCTAATATTCATCACTACATCCATCTTCAAAGGAGGAATACATGTGGATGGGGAACTGTTATGTTCTTTATCATTTGAGTACCAAATATAGCATGAGAATTTCATCTATCATGCAGGCATATGTTATGATTACCATTCTATATCAAATATCGAGACAAAATCCCTTCTCATTCTACAAATCATCACTATAATCGGTCGTTGATAAATGACTGCAGACAATTTGGACTGATCCTATGCAGATATGTGACATTTTACGGTAGACTCAATATTAATTTAAACACCCAGGTTAGGTCACAAGAAAGACGTGATTCAGTGAAGAAATTCTTCACAACCAACTCATTTTTAAAACATGACAATACCGTATATGTGTAATGAATCTCAAATTTGCCAGGAAATTAGATATTCTTTTACCAAAGCTTATGATCAAATGACAGTGTCGTAGCCTTACATACACAACGTACATATGTCAACTGACATTGACTGGTTAACAACAACGACAGGAAATCACAAACCATCATTCTGTCACACTTTTAATCGAATAAAATAGGAAACCTGCTTTTCACTAAATATCCCATTCGAAATTTGTAGGTGCTTTAAAATATTAGCCGAACTAGAGGTCATAAATTAGTTACATAGTTCTCGTTAAATATTCAGACTAGGTAATTCAGTAGATATAAGAGATGACTGGGCACTGGAAATCACCATCAAGCCATAACTTAAAAACAAATCTGACGACGCGAAAAAGGTGAGGGGAATCAAAAAGGAGACATTTTGGAGCATTTTCACATTGTTCACCCCTAATTTTCTAACGGGATGTTCCCATCATCTCTTTTTGATTGCTTGCAAGCAACGCCCCATGGGGCGTTGTACATGATTCTAAAACACACCAGACTTGTCATTTCCCCATAGATAAATCATTTTAGTGTTTCGGATCCGTGAAAGAACTTATTAAAGATCTGAAAATATGCAAAGCAAATAACGATATTGCGAAACTAATCCTAACGTTGAAAACCGAAACGGCGACAAAACTATGCCTTACCGACAACCTTCGGCAAACGACGGGTGGCCTTCAGATTAGCTAATTAGAATGCAACCTTCAGATTTCATTAATAAAGACAGAAGGCCTACAGACTGTGTTATTCATTTGATGATATAATACTGTGAAAGTCTAGTCTTTTCGTGAATGAGTCAACTGAAAGTACGGAGTCCACTTCTTCGGGTAAGCGGTTCCAAAACCTGATCACTTGGTGTGTAAATCTGTATGCCATGAGTATTTTGTTCGTTGATGGTTTTTCTACTCACCTGCTATGTGCTCTGTTATTTCTCGATCTAGTGGATAGAGAAAGGAAGATATATTAGGTGTAAAATCATCGCTTAGTATTCTGCACATCAAAATCAGATCACCTCTTAATCTGCGGTATGACAGAATAAAGAGATCTAGCATTTTGTGACTCGTGCTCAGATCCAAGGTCGACCGAACGAATGAATGGTATTGAAATATACATATTGCTAATCCTCGTATATAGTCATCGACATAAATCGCGTTAGTGAATGGCGGAATTTAAATAAGCCAAATGAGAGAATTGATTTATAACACGTATATTTCATGCACTCATTGTTAATTTGAACAGACATTCAAGGAGACGAAACAAAGAGGAAACGGCGAAGCAGAATTGAGAAGGAAAGCGAGCTAACTAGATTTAAACAAGCGTTTATCGATGTTTATAATCATACCAAAATAAGCTACAAACATGTGATGAGTAGAATAATATGTACGTACACACGTTCATATAAAAAGTCAGTGTTGATATGTGAGTAATTAACCAAGTCAAAGCGTGACTCAAGAAGAATGAATGGATCGGTCTGTTCAGAGACTAGAATAAGCTCAAACAGACGCTCACCGAATCTTGGTGTATTTCATTCGCGTGACGATATATTCCACGCTTTATTCGAGAATTTTCCTCAAATGACTAGACCACTCAAGCAGATTCCATCAGTGACCAACCGTGTGGTACACCATATAGTCACGCGCGAATCCTCAGTCACGGCAAGAGCTCTCCGGCTGGCACCGGACAAGTTAGCTCTCGCTAAACGTGAGTTTGACAATTTACTAGCGACTAGTATTATTCATCCTTCTCACAGTACCCGGGGCTCACCTCTTCACATGGTACGCAAAAAGGATGGAGTTAGTTGGAGACCATGAGGCGACTACCGAGCACTAAACGTAGTTACACGTTTTGATAGCTATCCCATCCCACAAACACAGGACGTCACGGCATCACTCAAGGGAACTACTATCTTTTCTAAGAACGATCTGGTACGAGCATATCACAAGATCCCAGTCGCTCTTGCAGGCATCGAGAATATCACCACCACGACTTCTTTCGGTCTGTTTGAGTTCCATTTAGATTAAGGAATGCTGCTCGAACTTTCCAAAGTTTTATCGATAGCATAGTACGGGACTTAGATTTTGTTCACGCCTATATTGATGAGCTGCTAATCTCATCATCAAGCGTAGATGAACATTATCAACATCTCACACTGTTGTTCCAACGTCTCTCGGATAATGGAATAGTAGTCAACCAGGACAAGTGCGAATTGAACAAACCAAAAATAATGTTCTTGAGTCACATCATTAAGCAAGAGGGTATTTTACCTTGTGAGAACAAAGTACATGCAATAATAGAGTACAACGTGCTGTCCACACTCAAGGAACTGAAGGCATTTCTCGGTTTGGTTAACTTCTACCGACGTTTCGTCCCACACGCGGCTGAACCGTTACGACCATTAGCCGATTTACTTCGCGGTAATCCACGCAAATTAGAGTTGAAATATGTGGCAAGTACTGCATTTTCAGTGATCAATACGGCTCTGACTCAAGTCAAACTCCTCGCTCATCCTGACCCATCATCCACGCCTAGTATAGCGGTTGATGCACAGGAGCCGTTATGCATCAAACATCTACGGTAGTTGGCAACCTCTGCAATTTTTCTCACCACGCCCTACACCCACGGAGTAAAGATATGGCGCTTTTGGTCGCGAACTGCTAGCAGCCTACTGTGCCGTCAAACATTTCCGACACGCAGAAGGAGGTCACGATTTCGTCTTATTTACTGACCGTAAGCCTTTAACGTATACTCTACATACCAAGTCTAACCACTACTCACCAAGAAATTGCAGACATTTGGACCATATCTCTCAGTTCATGACAGACCTTCGTCACGTTAAAGGCGAGTCGAAATTGTTGCTGATGCTCTGTCACGTGTCCAAGTGAATGCGGTTACTTAAACGGTGCTTGATCTTCATGCTATGGCTGCCGCCCAAATAAGCGATCCCTCCCATACAGAAGCACAGCATTCCACAGCCCTTCAGTGCTAGGAAGTACCCATGTCTACTCGCACAGATACAATTCAATGTGATACATCTACTGGTCTTCCACCGACTCATCATTTCCCCTGCCTACCACCGTCTCGTCTTCGATGCCCTGCATGGACTGCCTCATCCAGGTATCACAGCCACATTACACCTCGTCGCTGCACAATTGGTCTGACCGTCCATGGATAAAGATGTCCGTACAAGGGTAAAGTAATGCCTACAGTTTTAACGATCAAAAGTGCACAGGCGCGTAGCTGCCCCCATTGGCACGTTCGCTACACCTGATGCCTGCTTCAATCACGTTCATATAGACATTGTGGAACTGTAGTGGCATTGAACAATAACCGCACAATCCACAAAGCTGAACACGAGATCACTCAGAAAATAGATATTCAATACTTAACGGGGATAAATACCTAACGATGGAAAAGGCGCGAACAAGGAATTGAATGGACTGGATTTGATCTGATGGCATGGCTCGTCCATGCAGGCGTGGTCCATCTCAATGTTACTTTATATCTTCTATTCATATTAAATATATTGTTCCTTCTCTAGCCTAACCTTGTTCCTCATCATGTATTGGTAATTGATACGATACAGTGAGTTGGTGTAGTCGATGGTGTGACTTCCACGTAAGATCTTATAGATTAGGCAGTTATATCATGACAAATCTACAAATTTAGGATTAGGTCTATTATTAGAGCAGTACTAATATCATAGTAGACCATAATTCTACAGAACCATTCCCACCATCTCATGGGTATGATCACATAGTCAAGTGCATCGGTCGTTTCACAAGATGTCCCGAAGCTATACCCATCACGTCTAGTTGCTCACCGCTTCATAAACCGATGGATAGCGCCGTACGGTTATTCCTCGACTGTCACGACTGACCGAGGACAACACTTCGAATCCGCATTATTCTCCTCACTGTTTCTGCTGCCTGGTACGGAACGCATACGCCCTACCGCCCACCACCCAGCATCAAATAGTTTAGTTGAGCGGTTTCATCGCCAACTTAAAAGTGCTCTTCGAGCACACGAAAACAACCATTGGTACTAAACATTACCGCTCGTACTTTAAGGTATCAGAACGAGCTTGAATGCAGATATTCGATGTTCCGCCGCTGAACTTGTACACGGCACAACATTGCGTCTGCCTGGGAAATCTTTCACACCATGGAGCAGTAAAACTTTTGGTAAATCAGACTGCGTCCAAAGATTTTCCGAATTTATGCGAACGCTGCCTTCAGTGTCAACTCGAATACAACACCGACAGGTCGCTCTCCCTTGAGAGTTATCTACCCGCTCACGTGTTTTCATACAAGTAGATTCGGTATGCAGACCACAGCGAAAGCCTTACGAAGGACCTTTCCAAGTGATTTCCCGTTACGAAAAGATCTTCAAGGTTGATCGGCACGCCTGTGTCGAGATAGTCGGCATTGATAGTCTCAAGCCAGCATACGTCGATGACAGTGTTCTACCTGATAACTTGAGACCCATGGCTAGACCCATCAAACATACTAGCAGGACCCCCAGATCCACTTCAGATCCCATGCTAGATACATCAGAGACTTCATTCTAACGTCTCGGACAACAGCGCGTGTCAAATGCACCACCTACGAACGAGACTACTGTCTCACATACCGGTCGCCGAGCACGCCTGCCCGTGCGCTTTCGTGACCAATCGCGCAATCAACAACGGATACCATATGCATGCTACACCTTTCTCCTTTTCTTTGGTTTTTTTGTATCCTGAGCCCACGCCTCCGACCATCAAACATCTGGTACCATCGACTTCATTCAATTTTGGCGAAAGCTGGCCTGATCACCCACGCTCTTGCCAACGCACTCAAGCGATGTTCTGACCACAAATATACCTGACATACGTTTGGTCTCGCAGTTGGTTGTTATGGTCAATTCTGGCTTCTTGGCTCAACGTGGTCCTGTCCTACGTCTGCAGCATTTTTTGGTTCGGACCCTTACGAACGCAATCCTCAGATCCTGAATGCAAACCACTCTGGTGTGATACGCTAACTCAAGCAACAAATACAGCAAGTGTCTACTGATACCGTTCTGCGTAAAAGACCCTCGGTGGAAACTTCAGGATCAACGATTGTCTCCTGTTTGTCAACACTTTCGTCCCAGAATCGCACGTCTGCAGACCAGTCTCATGAACGAAATCACTACGTATTGATAGTGTAAACCCTTTATAGCGGAAGGCTCCCGTAGTGACCTACTTTTATGAAGAGAACCGGATTGATATAATGAAAATAATAATTATTATTATAACCAATTTTACCAGGAATGGTTTTAACCTACTTGTTTGTTTAACTGTACCAAAAACATGTATTCTTCCGTTGATTGCGACCTCTTACGATCTCGGTTACGCTCAGTAGTTCTACTTGTACTCTTTGCCACGATCTCGGTATTCTTTCGATACCACGAGGTCGCCAACAAATACATCACAACTACAGTCATCAGCTGCCTCCTGATATTCAGCCTACGGGGTGATCTAACCTAGTAACTGGCACGTGGTCTTCCCGTAGTGGTGATTGGAGTCAGTCGCGACTCGACGCGAACTACCAGTTCTCCCTACGGTCGTGTATACAGTAGTGAACATAGTAGTATCTTGCTTGGTGAGTATCTATATTAAATTCGACAGGATTCTAACCCACTTAACTGCAAACTCATAGCAGTGGTCC